CGCCCCTCCCCTCCCCTCCCGTGGGTCTGAGGAGAGCTGCGGCGCGGCCAGCTCCCGGGCCCGCTGCTCGATCTGGGCGCCGCCCCCGCCCCGCGCTTGCTTCCGTGCCGCAGCCCCGTTTTCCGCCTGGCTGCGCGTTCGAATCCTGCTTTGTAGGATTGGCTTGTCCTGGCCCCTCGCCTCGGGATGAGCCGCTCTTCCTTTGGCCAGAGCAGGCTGCAGAACTCGGAATGAACGTGAGGACCCCAGGAGAATGGGGGTGGTGACAGGACTCCGTCCCCAGTTAATGTATCGCCTGCGCTGACATTTTAACCGTCACCGCGTAACTATGTAGTTGTACGTTAACCGTATTACTAGAGCGGAACTGAGGTTACGAAAGCACCCCTGGCTGTTTTTCATTATGAGTCGTCCCGGGTGCCCAAGGGCAGAGAGGTAGGTGGAGCCAGAGGTAAATAAATGACCGCAAAGGGCTCTTTTGCCAGCAACGGTTTGATATTTCTTCAGCACCAAGCTACTCGCTTTGCTTTTAATTATCACAATGCCTCCTTTGCTATTCGATGTGCTAATTGGAGGTGTGTTCTTAGGAAAGTTAGGAGGTTCCCCTGTTGTCTTTTCTTGTTGATTATGCCCTGCCATTAAAATCAGGGGACCTTGGGATCACCTAGCCAGACCCTGGCCCTTAGGCCTCTGTTTAAACACTTCCGCCTCTGACGCAGTCTGTTCTATCGTAGAGCAGCTCTTGCGGTCAGGCGTTTTTTCCTGATGTCTGCTTCCATGAGATTGGAAGTCATTGTTTCTTCCTTGTCTTCGGCACCGGGTCCAAACACTTCTGCGTGACGGCCCTTCAGATACCCAAAGGCAGCTATCGCACTTCTCTGCCCTTTTCTCCACTCTGAACGCACCTGGCAACTGAACTGGCAAACATACCTTTTCCTTTTAAGTTTTTCCTTCCCTGCCCCTTTTCACGTGGGGGCTTTGCTTTGGACACGCTTCAGTTTGTCAGTGTCTTCCCTACAGCACCATGCTCAGAACTGGCCTCAGTGTTCTGGGCACGGTCCGACCAAAGCAGAACACGGACTTCTCTTGATCTTTGCGTTCTGCCTACTGTGACACAACCTGGGGTTGCTTTGTGTTTATTGTATACTGCTACATTGCGCCGTTGGCTAATTTTCCGCTTCTGACCCCAAGACAGCCAGATCTGTTTTACACACATTGCCACCTGGGATGAATTCTCCACTGTGTGTTCATGCCCTTGATTTTCCCTACCCAAATCAAGGACCTTGCATTTGTTCCCGACCTTCTGCCCATTTTTTGAGCTTGTCAAGATTCTCCTGAACATGAAAGTGCTCTCTTCAATCTAGTCAGGCAGTCAGAGGAACTTTATTTTTGGGGTTGACCAGATTTTGTAGTAATTAATGTCTGACTAGAATATATTAAATGGTCATGAATGTGTATTTTTTGTCAAAAACATACATGTTGCTTTGCTGAAGGTCAGTTGAGGCACATTTCAGTCCACTGCTGTATCCTGGCTGGGTGGAATTAGCTGTGAAGCACTAGATCCTCACCCCACCCCCAAAACTGGCTAGTAGCTGCTCACTCCCGGCTTTAAAACCATGAACGTAGATGTTAGTGATCTGTGCCAAAATCACTGGGCGTGGCTTATTTTTGTTTTGTTCCCTCCAGTAATTATGGCTAAATATGGCATGAATGGAAAGAAAGATGTGCAGCAATGGGGCACCAACTACATTAAAGAGGGCTTCACAAATGATGATCTCGATGACCCCCGGCTGGAGAAGCTATGGAATAAGGTCTGTCTGGAGCCTTAGAGCGGGGTGACTTCTTTGATCTTAGAAGAGGGCTTTCGGTTTTAATTTATTTATAATTTTCTTTACTGAAAGCTGCTTTCCTGCAAGTTGGAATGTTGAAAATTCTTATTTGATGGGACAAGATGCCCAACCATATTAGAGGAAGAAGGCAGATAATGTTACCACCCATTTTGGCACTCTAAAACCTGGTTATGTGGGATATTAAGTTCCTCCTTTTGTTTAGGGGCCTAGGTACTGTAACGACACTTTTTCCCCCACCCCAATTTTATGCTCTGCAGAATCCCATTTGGGAGAGATTGACGATGTATTCCCAGTCCTGGTCCAGCATGCCATTCACGTGCCACAGTGACTCTTACTGGGCCTGTGATAACTGAAGGTCTTTCCTTTCTCAGCGGCCATGGCCTTCCCTTGGGAGACATCCTTCGGTTGCCTGCTTGCTGTTGCCTTATGGCCTGGAAGAATGCCTCCTGCAGCTCCTTCAGTTATAATTAGATGCACAATAACTAAATTTCTTTACTAAGAATGGAATAACAAGAAGAGTAGGTTAATTTCAGGTTCGCCCAGAAAATGTATCTTCAACATCCTACTGAATGCTTTTCAGAGAGATTATTCCACAAAATAGTTCCCCTGAGCAGGGAGAAACATTACTTAGCAAAGTGGGAATTAAACTTCTTGTTTCCTTTGGAACTTTCTTCAAGGCCAAAACCTCTGGGAAGTTCTCAGATGAAGAACTGGAGAAGTTGTGGAAGGAATTCCAGCACCACAAAGAGAAAGTCCATGAATATAATATTCTGCTGGAGACTGTGAGTCGGACAGAAGGTACTGAGATGAGTCCTTGGTGAGCTGAAGAACTGGAGGAGGGGCAGCAAGGCCACATTAGGTGTGATTGGCAGGCTGAATCTTGCCTGTGGATTCAAAGCAATCAGAGTGCATGGCTGGTACAGGTAGTCCTTGTTTAGTTACCACAATTGGGACCGGCAGCTCTGTCATTAAGCGAAGCGGTGGGTAAGTGGGAAGTCAGTGGCCAGAGTCTGCTTTCTGGCTTGAAACTGACAAGGCTGGTCAGTTTCACACCTTCCCCTGCTGTTTGCCTCCTAACCCCCCTTTGGACTGCTCACTCCTGCGCTGGGATAATTAACAAGAATGGAATTAATGTTTGTATTTACATTCATTGGAGAGGAAGGGGTTACAAGAGAGCAAGCAGGCACACAGTGGGGAATGCACATCAACAGCAACGCGTTGGCCTTACGGCACCCTGGCGGATGGGTGTCTCTGCCCAGAGAGCCAGTTCTGCCTGAACACGAGCAGCTCATTAGGATTTTTGGGATCCGATTCAGCCTTGCAGAAAGAAGCCTTGAAATCCATCCTGAAGCAAAGACGTGTTTGTGCTTCCTGCACCTACGTGCCTCTGTTGGAAAACACTTCAGAATCTTCCCTGCTGTAGAAGCAAAAGGTGTCTGGGGAAAGGGTCTCCTCCCCCACTTGCCCAGCGGAAAGAAGGCTGCCCGTGTGGCATGAGGGCAGTTGCGCAAGGGAGCTCTGCTCTCCTTTCTGTCCGTGCCATCTTCACTGAAGATTTCGGGCACCTGGCAGGGCAGGGCCAGCCTGACATGCACTTTCCCTGAAGAACTGCCGGGAGCTTACCCATTTCTGATTCTGAACATGAGAAATGTGTGTCTTCTGCTGTAGCTTTGTAAGTGTTTATCCAAGTGTGGTTTGTGTGATATCTGCCTGTGCCATGAGACCAGTTGTCTGGGCCTCTGTTTCCTCAGGCTGGTGCCATTTCCTCTAATTTTCAGATGTCCACAAAAACATGATCAACCCAGTGGAAGAAGAGAGCGCAGTCAAGAAAGAGCTGCTGCATCAGAAGCACTCGGAGCTCAAAGAGAAGCTCTACAGCATCAACCAAGGCTTTGAGCGCCTGCGCAAAGTCAGCCACCAGGGTTACGATTCCACCAGCGGTAGGATGCTCCCCCCTCCCCCCCGTTTGTGGCTCCAATAAGCTAATGAGGTGCTAGTGAGGTGAAGGTAGTCAAGCAGCAGGTGCAGGATGTTCATGAATTGCACTACTCCCTCTTAGCTGAGTTAAAGTCCAAATTTTGGGCTTGCCGTCTTGCCTGCAGCCTGGACGCGTTCAAAGAAAGCTGAGATAGTAGCAAGTCTGCAGCTGCGTTGAGCCCAGAAGAGGCACCAGGTGTCTGGAGGGCCACTGTGGCCGCTGTGTGGTAGGCAGAGGCACCAAGGAGCTGTGCTTGGGCTAGGAGGTGGGCAGTAAGAGGAGCATCAGCCCAGGGAGCTTTTGCCTGGTTGAATGTCCTTGGGAGGACCCCCTGATTGGCAGGTGAAAGGTGAGACTGTCTCAGCCCTTACTCCAGGCCAGTTCTGACCACCCCTTCTTAGTGCTCAGGGTTCAAGGGCCATCCTTGTGCTTTTTCTCTGCCCCTTTTCACAGGTAACCATTGCTTTTATGGTAGCCCTCCCCCAGTGATGCATCTTGCAGTAGTATTTCCCAGACACAAACAGATAAGTAGAGTTAGCTGAAAATGTACCTTTATTTCTTCCTCCAGAATTCGAAGAACCCCGTGTGATTGACTTGTGGGATCTGGCGAAATCAACTAATTTTACAGAGAAAGAACTTGAATCACTTCGGGTAGGTAGCCATGGCCTATTTGTAATCTCCATTTGCTCATCCTCCTCCTTTGGGGTGAGAGGCCAACCCACTACACCAGCCTCTGCCCTTAAGAGTGTGGTGGACGAGGGCTGCTTTTCATCACAGAGACAGTTGCGCACCCCAGGGTCTCTTCCCCAAGGCAGAACACGACAAATAAAAGCAGTCGTTTTCCAAAAGCACCTATGCTGTACTTTTCCCATGGGTCCTTAAAGCGCCTGAAGAATTGTGGCTGGATCATAGAATTGAAAGGGGCCGTTGAACCCAACCATCCGTTCGGTGCAGGGATCCCACTGAAAGCATCCCCAGCAGGTGGATGTCCAGGGAATGCCCTTGCCTGGTGAAAAATTCTGGAACTTGCACGTTTTTTGGTGATCTCAGCTGACTTACTAATGCGTTTCCTCTGGCAAGGTTAGGAACCCTTCCATGACCAGAGTGGCTGCCTTCTACTCCCCCCACTTTGCCCCCCACTCCTTGAAAAAGGGCTTTAATGGTGGGCCTGTTTGTACCTCAGGCAGTTTGTGGGGCTGTGTTGCTGCACATGGTGAGGATGGCAAGGGCTGGCGTGGCGTAGAGCTGCTGGCATAGTGATGCATTTCAGGAAGTTTTGGCGGCTGAGGTGTGGCGTCCACAAGTCCGTATTTTCTACTCCAGGAAGAACTAAAACATTTTGAGGCCAAAGTTGAGAAGCACCACCATTATCAGAAACAGCTGGAGATCTCCCACCAGAAAATGAAGCATGTGGAAGGAACGGGAGACAAAGAGCACCTCAGCAGGAACAAGGAGAAATACGTCCTGCTCGAAGAGAAGACGAAAGAGCTGGGATATAAGGTGGGTTCGTGGGGTGTCTTGGTCTCAGCAGCAGTGAGGCATTTGCCGTGGCTTTCCGCCATTCCTTTGGTGCTGGGGAGGGAAACTGCTGGAGCTCTGCTGAGTCTTCATTCAGTTATTGTTGAATGCATATCTTGCCTTGGCCTGAGGCCTCTTACATTAGAGAAAAAAAAATCTGAAACTGTAAAATCATTATAATTGAAATCAGTGTTGAGAAACTGTCATTGAAATAGATTGAGAAGGTAAAGAGGTGTGGGAGGTGTGAATTTTGCCAGGCCAGGGGGTCACGCAAAGGGGTCTGCTAAAGATACCCCCTTGCTGCTGGACTGGGTCAGCTGCTTGCCACAAAGGGCTGAGCAGGAGTGCAGGGAGGGAGGGGGCAACAGATCCCGTAAAAGCATTACGAGGACAATGAGCTGCGTGCGGGTTTCATTCTCACATCTGAGAAATACATGTTGAGCATTGAAAAATAGCCCTTAAGGTGAGGCAAATGTCCAGTCCAAAACAAGTTGGGGCTTGGACTTTTCTCTGTCTGTAACTTGTTAATTTCAGGGGGGAGGAGGGGATTTCAGAGAAGCGAAGTTGCTGCTTGAACAGGGAAGAAAGAGGTTTTGAGGCTTGTGTTTGTTGGGATCGGAAGTACGAGAGAAAATGGAATAACCACATTTTGTAGAAGAAAGGGAAGAGGAAGCAAGTGGGGGATGATGGCCCGGTCAGTTTGAAGGAATAGCCTGAGAACAGAATTGGAGGGGGGAAAAATGAGAGGAAGGAAATGCTTAGAATCCGCAACAAAATAAGCCTCTGAGAAGGGCTTTCGTTTCACATGAGCGGGTTGGGAGGTTGTAAAGTGTGAGGAATTAACAGATAGATCGAGGAGAACATGGGCGTGTGACCCATTCGCCACGTGAGGCCAACAAGCTGCTTTTTGTCTCCTTCTGAACTCCTCTGTACTTCTGCTGAAAATGAGGAATAGACTGAAATGCCAGTTCTTAGAATAGGCTTACAGCATTTAATAATCAAAGTCTTAAAAGCCTAACCCACCAAACCACCCAGAATCGGAGTACTGCCGAGGTGGTATCATCAGGGTAGCATAGCCAACTCCAGATGAAACAAAGGCAAAGCTTCTCATATCAGGCTGCTCCCCCTAAATTTATTCGCCATCTTGTTCTTTATCTGCTTTTAGTTACTTGATTTCTGCTGGTTATGATTTTGAACTGAGTTGTATGTATCCTACTTTCTTTGTTATGTTATGAGCCACCCAGAGTTATTTGGAATCAGCACCTAAATTGAATTAATTAAATTAAATTAAATTATGAATGAAGTGTTTAGTATCTACTTAGGATGAATAAAACATATTTTTTTCCTTACCAGGTCAAGAAACATTTGCAAGATTTATCCAGCAGAATTTCTAGAGGCCTTCAGCACAACGAACTCTGAAGCTTTCACTGCTTTGCATACTGGTCAGAATTCAGTACTGAAATGTATATATTACTTGATGTTCTGATGCAGATCTTCACTGACAATTTGGCTTTTTCCCAGTAATGTTTGTTTCAATTCCTGATCCCACCCTGTTGTACTTTTTCATAGCAGCAGACTTACAAAGTGCCATGAATTCTTGCTACGTGGGCTTAAGAGCTCTATGAAACAGAAACCTTTGAATGTAAAACAACGTTCAGGACAAGGGTTCCTGGAGAGAAATAAGATAATTGCTGGAATGTATGCAGCAGGTTTAGTATTTTTGTTCCAGGGTTAACCTCCTGGGTTAATAAAAATGGAGCCCTGTTAAGATATCGTTGCTGCGCTCGTATGTATCTAAGTCAGAAATCTTTGTCACTGATGCTCCTGACTTGTTTAGGGGCTTCCTTTTCATGCTGTGACTTCTGACATGCTTTAAGAAGGAAAGGGGAGGTGACCTCCACTCAGTCTTATGCTGCTGACACTAACAGAGACGCGTGGTCATTGGGGCCTTCTTGTCCGGCCTGGGGCAGTCCAGTCTGAAAAGCGGTGGCCACTCAGAAAGTCAGCTGGGCACCTGCTCAGTCAATTTGGGTGGGGTCTCTGAGCAGGAAGTGTTCTGTGCTGAAGGAATGCAGTGGAATTGACAGGCCGGCTAGGCTTTTCATGATTTAAACAGGGCCACCCTGATGTTGGTTGACTTGTGGTCTAGGGTCTGAAAACAAGTACATGTAAGGAGACACTTATGATCATTGCACAAATGTACTCGGGCCACACCCTAGGCTGTTTTGTGTCAATTTTTGTTATTGGGAGGGTGTACTGTAAGGGGTGGGAGAAAATTGGGCGCATTTGATCGTAGAAGTATGTTGGGCACCAGTTTTTTGTCATTGGTCTGTATTGGGGGGGCTTATTCTTGAGTGACTCCCTTCAGCAGATTCTTCTAAAACGTCTAGTACGTAGATGTATATGGTCTAGGCACGTTCACGTATCTGTAAATTTAGAAGCAAACGCTAACCTTAGTTGCTAACAGGGAAGGGAAATGCAAGCAACAGTCCAAGGTCGTTCACAGGATTCCAGACCCAGAAGACCTGTGATACCTGTTACTTTGGCCAAATCATAGACCTTGAGGGTAGCGCTGGTCCTTGGTCAAAGGTGGCCCCTTCCTGGCAGCCGCAGGTCATCGGTTAGGGTCCACAGGACTAGCCTGACCACACGACCCTCTTTCCTGGTATTTGTTGAAGGCCTCTTGGCATGTGCCATGGCTGTGAAGCTTCAGATTGATCCCGAGTCTTGTCATATCTTTAATTTTTAGTTCCCTTCCCTCTGCTGGAGGCTCCTCTTAGCCGATTTCAAAGCCATTTTTTATTTTCATCAAAATTTCCCTAGATTTGCTCTGTTCAATCTTAAACTTTCCTTGTTCCCCTTCATTGGAGTCTTTACAGATGTATACAACTGTATTTCTCTATAAACATTGTGCAATCTTTTTCACCCTCATTTGTTTTGCAGCCCTCCTTTATATGCGCTTTTGCTTATCTACAGCCATTTCCACCTCCTCACCCCACCGTCTTTTCACGCTTCCCGCTGGTGCAGCTGCAACATCGCTCTTTTCCAAGCAGCTTCTGCACTCCCTGTCCTTCTGCCCACATTCCGTCTGTCTTCTCATTTTTCCTACAGGATCCATACCTTAACTCCCTGCAGGCGCTCCACTTCTTCTCGGCTTTTCCTTTTCCTTCCGTGTCTAGTGTTTCCAGGATCCACCCTTGGCACTATCAAAAAATGGCCAGTTCCATGGTCAGCATCATTCAGCATCCTTGTACCTCAACCATAAACAATAAAATCAATCACGCTTTTAGATTTATATTCATTCCTTTACCAGGTGTGCATATGAATAGACACGCTTGAACAGCATACTCAAAGCAGACTTTTTTCCTAAAGAAATCAATGCGCGCTTGGCTGTACTCTTCTATCTCCTCTCTCCCATCAGTTCCCATCAGTTCAGTATGTTTTTCCGTTGGATGACCCTCATTCGGGATGTTGCCCCAGACTCCTTCCTGGTTCTTCTGTCATCACTGCTCACTGAAGCCACACTTGCCAACCTCTGGGCAGCGACTTCCATGTACGTTCACAGCAGTCTAGATCAGCCTTTCTCAACTGGGGTTCCCTGAGAGGTTGTGATGGGAACAAAACGAGGTTTTTTAATTTGGCGTGCCGCGCAGTGCAGGCATTTACAGCTGTGGGAATGTTTACGTGCCGCGACTTGGCTTCTGGGCTTCCTTGAGACCTGAAAATTATTTCAAGGGTTCTTCCAGGGTAAAAGGTTGAGTAAGGCCTCAAGTGGCACTAATTCGTGCTTGCTGACATACACGCTAACTCACTCAGAATGAAGCCTTCTCCTTCATTTCTCTGCATGTCACTGTCAACTTCATGAGATCAATTCACCTTCATTCGATCTTTTCTGTCTTTTCATTTAGTAGGTCCCGCCCTTGGTTGTTACTCCTCCTAGGTCCCAGGTGGCAACAGGAGGCCCTGGTACAGGGAGGGCGGCAGCAGCCCCCCGCCTGTGTGCACGCCCGCTGTGCACTCCTGGAAGAGTGCGGCCAGCGGCTTGGCGAGCTGGTCCCCGAAGGCCCGGTAGAAGGCCCAGTCCAGGATGTCTGGGCTCGGTGCGCAGCGCCTCCCACACCTCCCCTGCCACAATCAGGCTGCCCAGGGTTAGGGCTGGAGGTGCCTGTTCCCCATGTGCCCCCAAGGAGGGGGTCTGTGCTGTGCCCTGAGACACACACGGGGTGCAGCTTCTCTCACTATCACACTTAGTGGGAGTTGCAGGGAGGATCTGGGTGCCCCCGGGGGCCTGCCTGCCTTCTTCCTCTGTGCTGCAGGAAATTGCAGCTTTGTCCAAATAGGGAATTTTGGCAGATGTTGCAGGAAAAAGAGAAGTGCCTGCCTGGGCCCATGACCTCCCTCAGCCCTGAGGGTGCAGCAGCCATTCATGCCTCCCCTTACAGCTGATCCCCCTGGGCTCCCTCTCCACTGCCTTTAGCTTGTTTATTGATCCCCCCCCGGAAATTCTGATGAAAAAACACTGCTGCAGCGTAAGTGTAAGAGCCACGCTAGGTGCAATGCATGCTGTTTTTTGTTGGGAAATATGGGGTTTCAACCAAACCTGTCTCACACAAACACAAAGGGAGGGGTGGCTTCGCTGCAGCTTGGCTTTGCTGCTTTGTGTGCGAGGGGCTTGGATCCCCCCCTTTTTCCGGTTTCCCTCATTTTTCCTCCTCTTCTCATGGCTCTCCACGAGGTAGGAATGAATCCTCTCTCCTCCTCATGGGTTTAGTAGTAACATTTAACAACCCCCAACACAGGGTTATGGGCCCAGCATATTTAGAAAATGATGATCAGAGATTATTTCGTTACTGAGGGAACTGATTGCATTTAGTTTTTTAGAAGATGAGGATATTAACGAGCATTTATTTAACGCAGTCTATCTTTTAAAGGCTGAGCACAATTCAAAATCTCATGAATGAAAGACTAAAAATGGCTTTTCCTCTAAGCTCATTACCTGACAAATATTACCCTTTCGTAGCAGCGCAGAATTTACAAGGGATGAATTTGTCTCAATTGTTTGGAGCAATTAGAAGTGAAGCGAGGAGACATAAAAATTCTTTGTATTTCCATAAAAAGTCAACAAAAAACATGGGTTACCTGGCAGAAAAAGGGAAATGTGAGCAGAAGCCATTGATCGCTCATCAGCACAATAAACCCTTTGTTTGTCATTCCTGCAACAAGCCAGGGCACATAGCTAGATTTTGTGAAAGCAGAGACAAAAAGGATATTTCAAAAGGAAAAATTAGCTCTGCATACAGTTTTCAGAGCAGAAAATGCTCTTGGAGCTAATTCTAATGAAACCAAAAGTCAATGGATCTTAGATTCAAGTGCAAGCCAACATCTTTGTGGGAACAGATAACTTTAGTGAACTGAATGAAGAGCCA